TTCCAAAGCAATGGATTTTCTAGGTATCTGCTGACGCAGCACACTGATTTGTCTCTTACCCTGTCTGTTGGCACACTGCCTAAGTCAATCTGATCAAACTGACTTATTTATTTACAGTGTGCAAAACCACTTTTAAATTAACTTTGGGGGAAAAAAAAAGTCATTTCTAGTTGTACTGAACCAACAAAGACTTTGACCATGCCCTGGCAGAGATGCCGTTTCATGAATACTGGAAACACAAAGGCTGAAAATCTCAACTCTTCCAAGGGTTACTTCTACCCCATCAGTGTCAAACGTGCTGGTCTCTCCTGGTTGCTCCAGCTCTGAGCTGCCTGCACATCTCAGCAAGGTTTCATGTGAGCCCCCTCTCATGGGCTTCCCTCCTTCGTTGCCCTCTGAATTATCTGATACAGTTCTATTTGTTCTGTATTAACGTTCGGGTTTGAAGTGCAATCCAGGAAAAGTACTCGGGGCTCCAGACGTGCTTCCTGGACCAGCACTGTCGTGCTCCTGAGCTGGATTTTTCTGCAGTTGTTTTCTCTCTTGCTTTCGTCCACCTCACCCACCTTCCCTCTACTGCCTGGGCTTTCCTTACCATGACAACTACTGTCTCAAACAGCAAAAAAAGAGCCAGTGTTACAAACTGTTGTTTATCTAGCTCACTGTGATTTTTCTAAGTTTTTCCCTGGCAAAAATTAACCCTACTGTCCACCGGTTACATACTTCCAGAATTCATTTACAAGTGCTAGTAATGAAAAAAAAAAAAAAAATCAGGATCAGGTCTTATTTGTCTAATCCCACAGTACCAACCCTGAGCTTGACCCTAATATTATAATCAAGAAATTGTAATATTAGAACAAATTTACTTAACAACTACAAAACAGAATTAATTTACTCCACCTAATGAGATCAGCATCAGAGAGCAATCCGTCGAGGCAAACCCAAGAGCGTTTGGCCCCACAAGGATACTCCCAACTTTCTGAAGAGAAATATTTTCCCATCAGGACCGTATGGAAATTAAAGCAGTTACATTTCCTTTATATTAAAAGTGGTATATAACAATAATTACCTGATTAAAATTTTTGAAATTGAACTCCTTGTAGATGGCATCTCTTTCACCTAACTCAGACCAGCCTGAAGCTTTGAGATCAAGTAAAACTTGGTTCCTCTCCTCTGCCGTCAACCAGCGAGACTGCGAAGACTATTGAGGAAAAAAAATGACATGAATGAGGCTGAGGTTCTCTTTTGTACAACAATAAGAAAACCACACGACGAAATTGTGGTTATGTATTGCAGAAAGGTAAGGAGGTGGAAAATTCACTGTACAGTTTCTTACTGTTTATAATTTCATAGACCAGTTTAACTTAGAACAGCCAAGAAACACCATTTCTGTTTGGTCAATTAAGTTCAGCTAAACGCTTTTGTAAACACTAGTGAAAAGCAACAGGCTCTTTCACAGGAATGAATACAGACATCAGCATACCTGCTGATACCCATCCCTTTTCATCTGAATTATCCAGATGCTGTAACACTTGACCTAATTTTCAAGTATCCCACTCTGTCATATAAATAAAGGATTATTTACTTTATATGCTAAATGTACAATTATAAGGCTAAAAGGGATACTGGGGAATATCTATTTCAAAAGACAGAAGCAAAATAGGAAATTGTATTCTCCACAACTTGTATGTTCCTGTTCCTAAGAAAGCAGGAATTGATTTAAAGATAGCACACACTTGGGAGTTCTACAAGCAACAAAGAGCTTTTTAACTAAAATTGACAATACAGACACAGTTATGAGAAGTTACAAGTTACTGGTATAAGCACTAGATTCTGCAAAGCACCTATGTTTAAATATGTCTTATTTGAAGCAAAAGGAGTCCTTCTGAAGCCACTGGGAGCACAGACATAACAGATTACACTATCTGCTTAAAAATCTGAATCAGCGCCTGAACCGCGCACGGGGCCAGAGCCAGACCCAGAGGAAAGTTCTATGGGGCGTTTGGAAGAGGTTTGATATTTTTCCTAAAAGCAGAGACTAAGAGCACGAGTGATTACTTCAGCGATATATTCTAACAGATGGGTCTCAAACTCCGATTACAAACGCAATGCTTTAATGGGAAGAACCTTTCTCCCCAGTAGAGCAAAATTCAGATGGCTTTAGTCTTTATGCTAGCAGCTGGCACAGCTTTGTGAGAAATTCCAGAAAAGGGCTGAGCAATTTTGCTCCAGAGCTTCACTAAGGTGTGGGAGGTCTGTGAGCACCCACCACCAGCTCAGCAGCTCAGGGTGGTTTTTGCCTTTGATTTGCCAGTCTGCACTGGCAGCCCTGTTACAGAGACAGGCCAGAGCCCCAGTGCCACCAGATGGGGCTGTGAGCCCGAGAAGAGCAGGACTTAATGCAATTAATGCGACCCGAGCAAGGCTTTAAGATGCAGGAGCAACATTTTCACCAATAAGGGACAAAACCCCCCAAACTGCATAAATCAATCTAAGAGCATCACTGCCACCGCTTGTGTTCAGCAGGATACATCCAGTCCAAGAGATGAGTTTTACAGGTCCCAAACTGAACTAATTTAGGCTCTTCATGCTTCAAATACAACTTTGACCTTGCAAGAATACAAACATCAGATTTGTTGTTGCTATCACCGAAGTTGCAGGCATGAATTTCTTACATTCTTCTTTTTCCAAGCACATATAAAAGTTGCCAAAGCTAACGGCTGTCTTGAAATGTATCATTTTATCCGGCACGGGATGAAATTAGTAGGCTTTTTTTACGAAAACTCACAGGGGTGGGGTTTTTGAGATAGCAAAGTCCAGGACTGCGACCAGGAGGCAGTACAAAGTCCATTCCTCTTGCTGGCAGCAGAGATGTTCTCTGTTAGTTTTAGGGATGTCGCAGTTACCTTCCTGAGGCCTCACCTGGACAGGCAGGCGTTGACGAGACAATGCTGTGGCTTGAAATTAGATCATACAGTTTTTAACAGAAATATGGAGATCGAGTTTGATGCAGGCCCCGGAGCACACCGCTCACAGCATTTTACTTAGGAACAGGTTGGAAGGCCAGGTCCCGAGTTAGCCCCTCCAACACGTCACAGCTCTATTTGGAAACGTAGCAGAAAGCAGCAGAAACTTGCTTGCAAAAGGAAAAAAAAGAAGGTGGGAGATGCCGTTCGTGCCACAGCACCACGCCACGGGGCACGGCGCAGAAACCCCCCCACGAAGGCAGAAACACGCAAATATCGACTCGCCGCACCTGATGGGTTTAACCGAGGTAATCGAGAACGTTCGTTTGGAAGCAGCTCAGGGGGAAGAGAGTCCTTGATTACACCGAGAAATTAGTACAAAAATACTTCACGCTTGAGGACTGGGGGTGCAATTAGGTGCTAGCTTCACGTGGAAAAAAAACCCAACACCAAAACCCAGTGACTGGGGGGGGTGATGGCTGTGGGAAGCGGGGGAGAAGGGACGGGTGGCTGCGCCCCGAGCACCCGGGGCCGGGGCCTGTGTCGTCCCCCCTCAGCCCTCCGCTCCAGCCCAGCCCGGCCCGGCCCGGCCCGGCCCCCCTCGGTCCCCCCAGGCCGGCCGGCCG